GCAGGACTGGCCTAGGGACATTTTAAATTGGTTTCTAATTAATTTTAAAATAAGAATAGGCCTATTGAATATATCTTTTAATTGATTTTAAATTTTGTAGATTTGTATCGATTGTTCTGTTTTTAATTGGCTGTAAGCCGCCCTGAGTCCACTAGGAGAAGGGCGGGATATAAATGCAATAAACTTGAAACTTGAAACTCAACCAGCACTGGGCTGCGGCATGCCAGAAACTAGGCCGCACAAACAAGCAAAGCCCCATCCGTGGAATGCAGGCAGCACACGAAACCACACCTCCTCCAGTCTGCGGAAAAACCTCCCTCTATGGAACCGGTCCCTGGTGCCCAAAAGGTTGGGGGCACTTGCTGTACAGGATTTAGACAACCACTAGAGGGCAATTAAGAATTAGATATTTGATTTGTCTTGCTGCCATATGCTCATCTAGAGTTTTGCAGCTCATATGGTGCCCTATCTTGCAATACAGTAACCCTATAACCTAGATCTATATTATTTTCCACATCGCAGATGCAGAAGGCCTGAAGTACAGGGAAATAAATAGAATGGCAAACTTGAGAGCCTCTTATTGACTTCATGACACAGAGGAGATCCATATCTCTTTATCTGCTATGTAACACAATTTCTTTAAGAGAACTCCAATAAATTTAAGTCAGTGGTGTGGATATCTTACCTAATCTAGCTAAATAATAATATTTTACTTTTACTATCGAATAGATATTATCAAATCACAATCTCAGAAGTTTACGTATATTCTACAGATTGGAAACAGCAAGAAGCGTATACTTACTTCGGCTATAAGTGGCATTGAAGCCTTTTTTTTGAATGCTAAAGTCACTTGTAAAAGATATAATCATTTCATTCCTAGATGAGTTAAATGATAAACCTTTGGCAGTCATACCACAATAGGAATCTCTTTTGTCTCCAGTGTCCAAAGTTACATGATCATATGTGCAACCAGAAGCTTCTTCAATATCAAAATCAACAAATGTTATCTGAATGATGTATCCAGAAGGAGCCCTGATGGTCCATTTGCATGCTTGATTGTTGGGATAATTATTGGGGAAGCAAGGAGAGGTAAAAATTCCTGTGGGATTCGATAGCACCATACGACACTCTGAGCATTCTTGAGCTTTGGAACAAAAACAAAAAAACAGAGAAGAGTTAGTTAACAAAACAAAGTAGAATTTACCACAGTGTAGATATTCTTGATCATTTCGTGCATAATCAAGAAATATTTACAATTAACTGAACTTGGTCTCCTTCAGATATAGCCATAATATATCTATTGTTCTATACATGAGCAATATGTAATTCATTAACCAGATAAATATATTTAAATATCGTTTAATAAATATGTAGGTGACTATCATAAAGGTTTATTTACATCATTTAATGCTTTAACTTCATCTACCCTTACCTGGTTGTAAATTCCATTAATCATGGAAATTTTCCTCTGAATAAACATGCAAGGGCCTCACTACATTGTAAATAACATTTCATAATTTGTACTTTATATGTTTCCAGCATAATTAATTATTAACTGGCTGCTAAAACATATTTTTATTCCCAGTGTTAGATGTTTTATTTATTTATTTGTTTTTATCCTGCTTTTAATTTAAAAGAAGCTTCAAAGAGAAGGTTTAATGGAACATATTATTAAACTACATAAAATGTGCTAAACGGAACATATTATAATAAATAATTTTAAACATTTTGACATTTCAGCAACAATATACAAAATAAAATACAAATGAAAAACCTTTCTGTAGATTTAGATCAAGCCATTGTAAAGGCAGTAATTCCATTTTGATTCTCTACCTATCAGCAGGATATTTGTCCAAAATCAAATTTGGTGGTGGAGAACAAACTGACAAAAGAAATATTGAGTTTGAAAATGGGCCAGATCTGGATAGGAGATACACAGGAAAAAAAAATCTCAATACCATCCAAGGGTAGAAGCAATCTGGCAACCAACTACTTTATCTTACGTGCCCCCTGGTCACATGACCCAGCATGACCAATCTGCAGCCTACCCTGTGCTCCTCAGTGTATTTACAAACACAAACAAAAAAAACATATGCAACAAGGGGACATCAGAAAAACACACAATGAAAAATCTTTCAAAAAATGTGCTTTTAAGAGCTTTTTAAAGCTGCTGTGTTTAGAGATATGAAGCTTTGGGAAACATTATATTTTCTGGGCATGAGGTAGCTACAAAGAAAGCTTGCTTGCAAGTGATCAAAAGGTACACCCACAGAAACAGTAGATGGACTCCCCAGATGACCCTGAGTAGGGGATTTCCTATAAAAGAAGGCATTGTTTCAACTTATGGACTCAAGTTACTCAAGCTTTCAAGGTAATAATGGAAACTTTGTATCTCATATAAAAAAATTACCAAGGTATGTAGTACCAGCTATGTAATTGGTATAATTTAGATTAACTGAGCTGCTTCTGTAGATGAACCTGACTGCTGAATTCTGTATTAATATAAAACACACTCCATGTAGATCACAATAGATAGACTTGGAATTTACCAATACATGCTTAATATTTTAATCAAGTTCTTTAAAAAAACCAGAATTGAATGTTATAACTGTCTCAATCTGGGCAACAAGAAAAGGATTTAGATCTAGAAACTCTCCCAAACTATGTAACTGTGCATACATATATATCCAACACACAAACAAAATTAAATAATAAAAGCTCTAAGGAATATGATAAACACAGAGAGACATTTGACTAACTCTACTTGACATCAACCCTATTCCTTATATTTAATATACAGATAATCCTCAACTTACAACTACAATTGAACCCAAGATTTCTGCTGCTAAGCAAGCAGTTGTTACTTACTTACATTAAGTAAATAACAGCTCTCTTGCTTAGCAACAGAAATTACTACATCTACTTAAATGGAGTTTTGCCCCATTTTACAATCTTTCTTGCCACAATTGTTAAGTTAGTAACACGGTTGTGGCTTCCCCATTGACTCTGCTTGTCAGAAAGTTATAAATGGTGATCATGTGACTCTAGGACACTGCAATTGTCATAAATATGCATCAGTTGCCAAGCAGCTGACCACGGGGATACTGCAAGAGTTATAAATGTCAAAAACAGTCATAAGTCTGCTTTTTTAGTGCCGTTGTGACTTCAAATGGTCACTAAATGAACTGCTGTAAGTCGAAGGCTACTTTTGTTTCTCTATATATGTAGTGGCAATGTGGAAGACCATTCTATTTTGAGGAGTCTGGTGAAATATTTTGTTTTTTCCTTCATTAAGAAAATTCTACAAGGATCTTGCCTTGCAGCTTTGTGACTATGGAAGCAGGGCCACGAAGTCTTAGTGCCAGGTTTTAATAAAAACCCTAGAACAGAATAGAATGGTTAGAAACTGATCAAAGAGAGAAGCAACCTGGAATTAAGGAGAAACTTCCTGACAGTGAGGACAATTAACCAGTGGAACAGCTTGCCTCCAGAAATCATGGGTGCTCCATCACTGGAGATTTTTAAGAAGAGGCTAGACAGTCACTTGTCTGAGATGGTATAGGTTTTCCTGCTTGAGCAGGGAGCCGGACTAGAAGACCTCTAAAGTCTCTTCCAGCTCTATTCTATTCTATTCTATTCTATTCTATTCTATTCTATTCTATTCTATTCTATTCTATTCTATTCTATTCTATTCTATTCTTTCTTGTCCTGCCCTCTGGTGCTTTGGAGAATAATGTGACCCCCTCTTCTTTGTGGCAGCCTCTCAAATACTGGAATACTATTTCTTCTTTTCTTTAGACTAGCCAAACCCAAGTCCTGCAGCCATTCTTTGTTTGTTTTAGTCTCCATGCCTTTGATCATCTTAGTTGCTTTTCTCTATATTTTTTCCAAACTCTCAACATCTTTTTGTAATATGGTGACCAAAATTGGTTGTAGTGTTCCAGGTGTGGTCTTACTAGGATTTTATAAAGTGGTACTAATACTTTGCGTGATTTTGATTCTATGCCTGTTTATACAATCCAGGATTGTATTAACTTTTTTGGCTGCTGCTACACACTTCTGGCTCATAGTCAAGTGATCGTCCACTATGACTCCAAGATCCCTCTTACAGTTGCTATTTTCAAGCCAGGTCTTGCCCTGAAACTGTCCATGAAGCTTGAGACCCTTCATAGGCTTGAATGCTCAGTGCTGTGTACCCAGGGCCAATTGGGGTCTCTCTGCTGCTTTAAAAGGAGCTCCCAGTGAGAAAATCTTGTTTGGTATTTTATGCTTTCTTGTGTTTCTGTTTAATATGCCTGCTACAGTTAAATAATAAAGCTTGAAAACTTCTTATGCTTTTTGTTTCTAGATCCAAAAGAACCAATTGCCTGGGTACCTGATCATTGCCCTGGCACTTGGCAAAACACTACATTTCTATCCCTGCAAACTACTCTTGTTTCCACTATGTCCAAATATCCATTTGTACATTGCCACTCTCAGTTCTCTCTTTTTAAGGATCTGATCAACTCATCCACAAATGATTTTCTCAGTCTTCCCTTCCTCCTTTCTTCATGTATTTTGGTGATTCAATCCTCATGCAATCTCTTTATGACCAAATCACTTCAGAAGTCTTTGGGATTGCTCAATCATTCAGTCTGCATCATTCAACATCAATTCAATATCCAATCCCACTGCGTTCATTTTAGTTTTATGCTTCTTCTGAAATACCTGAAGTGGAGCTACACTCTTATCAGACAGCATTTTAGCTTTTTCTGATAAGCATTCATTTCTCACAGCAAGCCACAAACTGTCTATATATCTCTACCAGCATTTACGTGTCTTGAAATATTTCCATTATTTGTCTTCAGTAAATATTCTGTAAAAATGTTCTACTCTTTGATTTAATATTTTGCCATTTGCAACATTACCACCTTGCAATTGTTTGTTCCAATTTCCTTGTCAAGTTATATTGACCAACATTTTTTTTCTTTTTATAATATTTTATTAATTTTCCAATTTTACATTTAAGTATTTAAAAAGTAATGTGGTGACTGGGTGAATCAATAGTTCGATAACAAAATATTTAGTACAAATCTCAAGTTACAACCTCAAATATTTCCTCTCTTTTTCCCTTAACATTTACTGTCTCGTATTTAAGCTAATATAGTTCTTATTATATCAACTCAATAAAAACATATCTTAATTATTTTTTACATTCATTCTTCATAATCAATCCATATCCTGTTATTAATTTTTTCCCAATTTTTAATTTTCCATCAATATTCCAATTTAACCTTTGATATTTATAATTTTCAGGCTTTAGGTAACCAAGATTTTCTTTATCTCAATTCATAACAGCATCTAATATCCAAAATACACATTTTATCTATTTAAATATAATCTTGTTCTATTTCCTAAAAGTTATCTATTTCCCACCATATTAAACCATCTACTTAATAATACAATATCCCCTTTGATAAATCAAAACCATTATCTATATTACCTGGGTTATTCAATAAATCAAACATATTCATAATAATTAATTTTTTTAGGTTTGCCATTCCGGCTGCTGAGGCCGCTGGAAGGCAAGATCTGTCTTCCGTGTTCGGTTTCGCTCCACTGGGGGACCCTGGAAAGGGTCGAAAGTCACCCTGTAGGGGTGACGAGCAAGGAGGGGACCCCTGCTTGATCGCGGGAGGGCAGCAGCCCTTCCGCTCGATCCAGGGCAGCCCTCAAATCTGGCAGAGGAAAGACCGGCCATAGTAATATGGCCCGTCACTAGGCTGCAGACAACCAAAGTCAAACTTACCACCAAGCACTTCAAAAGCAACACGGATGAAACTGGGTGAGATCCGAACTTCTCTCTACCCTAAGTACTTTCTTTTCCTATAAAAGCTGCATGAAGTATCTTTCCCCCTGTGAGGAGAGAGGGAAGGGAATTTCTATTCCACCCTCTAACAATAGCGGCAACTGACTACCCAGGGGAATTAAAGCACTAAAAGTACAACTTTAATCTAATTGGATTTATATGTTCCTGAAACTTGGGAACCAAAAATGTTCCTATTTTTATTGGAGACTTTTGCTTTTATCTACAAAAAAAATGGAAAAAGGATTATAAAAATTTTGGACTTAAAAAACTTTAAACAGCATCAGTGACATCTTGTGGCGAAGTTTGGTATTATAACTTATTTCCTAAAAGGGACTTGGCTCGAAGCCCAGACCTTAGATAAGACTCTTCTGACCTTTGCACCAACTGTGAGAAACTCAGCTATAAGAGAACAGCTGGGTGACATAACTGGCCTACTTGAACTGTGAATGTAAATCTTTACTGACTTTCAGAGTTATATGTGGGGAATTGCTTTCCTATCTCTTTATTTGAGGAATATTGGTTACTATATGAGATGATGAAATACCCTGGACTATAACATCTTGCTTGACAAACGATTTCTACTATAAAGACTATTTATAAACACGTGGAAGAGATGGATGAAGACCAGGAAAAGATCCTTTCCATGTTGAAAGTAATACATGAAACATACTTTCATCTTGTGATAAAATAAGACCTAACATAAAAGATCAAGATGCCAGCTTAGATATACAAACCCAAACTTTGACTACAACCAAAGAACTAACAACGCAGAAGATAACAGAAGAAGTGGAACAATCAAATATTAAGACAGAGGACTCAATTGACCAACAAATACAGTTAATGGAAAATCCAGAAAAGGGAATGACAACACTGAAAATGGAAAAGATTTTCTATATAAATCAGAAGAAATTTGAGAAGAAAGAAGAACAGGTTGAATGGAAGATAAACATATCAGGGCAATCATGGGGAATTGGAATAATAGGGAGACAGCCTAATGAATATAAATGGGCTAGTTCTTCCAAAAAAATGGCAATTAAATGGTCTCCTTTATTTCAAATAACATATATAATAATAGAGGGAAATCTATTTGATGATCTAAAAGCACTGATATGGAAGCCTAGTTGGCAAAGGAAGAAAGCCAGAATAAGACTGAAGAAAATTGGGGTTTTGATTTATTAGAGGGGATTTCATATTATTAATTAGAGGGTTAAAGGGAGAAGTTGAGATAAGGGGAATTCTGGTCATTAGATTTAAAATATTTGGAAATTAGTTGAAAAATAAGCATTTTATCTGTTTAATATTTAAAAATTAGACCTAATTTTTTTTTAAAAAAAATCTTTTTTTCATAATAACTTTCTGGGCAAGATAACAGTGAAAACAGTAAAAAGAACAAAAATAAAATAAAATCATAATTGGCTTCGAATTTAAAATTTGGCAGTATTTTGTATTTTCTGCTGATACGTAATTCCATCTTTAACTTGTGAGCAATTACTTCTGAAAGTCTGCTTCTAGCTGAAGCTCAGTTCACACCCATAGCCGAGAAATACTTTGCAAAGTCATTTGCTGAAGAGAAGTTAAAATTGTGGATATTAATTGTAAGCAAGCAATATTTTGCAAGATATCTGGCAAGCAAATACATGCTGAATGATGGCGACCCAACTAATTAATTACATGCATTGTCAAAAGCATTACAGGGGAAGAAATTTCAGAACCTGACTTTCAAACTCCCACCCCAATTTGTGCCCACATTTTTCCATTCGTATTGGTTAATATGAGGACAGATTTTTTTCCAGAGTGGAAAAAAAACTTAAATGTTAGACCCAATTCTGTAAATAATTATACTTGTCACTCAGTGTGTACTGGTGATTTGGTAGAAATATATTCTCATATACTGGTCTATTACTATTTACATGTATAACTCTAGAAGCGTACCAACAAGAAAAGCAATAAGAAAAGAAGTCCCGTTGCCATGACTCAACTTCCAGATAAATCTAGAAGAGTAGTAAACTATTTAGATTCTAAAATATTTTACATTTTGCTTACAATTGGCTTACATAATTACCATGCCACAGTTTCTTAAATGTTCTTATAATCACAGAAGTAGCATAGGAATGTCTGTGAGATGAGAAAAAGACTGTTCAGCAGTTGTAGCTGGTAACTTTTTTCAATCCAAGAGAGCATATTTGGAACTGGAAACACTTGGACTTGGGTATACCAAAATTTTTGGAAAATGAGACAAAGATTTGGTAAGAGCCTAAATGACTAAAGTTTGTTTATATAGCTAGTTTTATTGAAATCTTGGAAAGGATAAGTCCTGTTCTGATTCATGGACAAGGCTAGAGACAGCACTTAACTTTTCTCTAACTAATTGTACTTTTTGGAGATAAGATACCATACTTTTTAAAACCATGAATTTGAAAACACTAAACAGTAGAATACATCTCCATTTTTTTAATATTAAATGTTTTACAGACATTATTTACTTAATAATTACATATGGAGAAAAGTATACAATAGCTCTTCCTATTGCCAAGTAGAGCTCAAATCAACACTAATCTTCAACTCCGTTGGGAGACATTGTATTACCAAATGTTTTCAACATTGCTTTTAACTCACTTATAGCACTGATTAAAAAAAACAACTGAATTCATTATTTGGAAAGCACCTATTTTACTTCACCTAAGAAAATTAATTTCAAACCAAAAAATTGAAGTAGTTAGTGTAATACATAGTTACTTATTTGTTCACTTTTTTCTCATTTTAGGCTGTCATTAACACTTTTTAAAAGTACAATCACTAGCAATTTTTTACTTTCTAGAAACAAAAAACATATTATCAATACCAAGAACAAAAACTCCTTTACTTACATTTTTTT